CACGCCCAGCTAGTTTTTGATTTATTGAAGAGATGAGGTCTCACCAAGTTGCAGGAATGGGTCTCGAACCCGCGGGCTCATGCAATCCACTTGCCTTGACCACCCAAAGCACAGGATGACAGGCTGAGCCACCGAGCCCAGCCAAATGAATCATAATTAATCCTTTATCAGTTTACAGTTGCTCTCACGACAAATTCCCAGCTTCTCCACATGGCCCACAAATCCTTTGTAATTTGGTCCCGCAGAGTATTCCATCTTCATGTAGATTTCCCACCCAAATCCCACTGCCCAGCAAAGCAGAGCTACCTACAATGCTCCCAGCACAGCTGGTTCTTTTTCGGCTTGTGGCTTAATGTACAACACACCCTCGGCCTGGTGCAGCTGCCTACCTGCTCCATCTTCACCCCACCGTAAGCAAATTCTCCTGAAAGTCAACTCGCCAACAGCAAATGAGCAACTGACCAAAAGCCAACTGGCCCAAGGCAGACTTCATTTACTTGGTGGCTGGTGAACTTGCTGAATGCCAAAGTCACAAAACTGTCCGGAACTTCTAGCAGAGTGACTGTAAGCAAACTCCACCTAGCTGACTCATGGAGTCGACAGCTTTCTCCACTCCCTCGGTGAAACGCCCTCATGTCCCTGCACGGCTAAACATTCGTGGCCAACAGGCTCCTCTCTAGAGTGTCTGAGAATGGTTCCACCTGTTGAGTTGTATATTTACTAAGAGTCAGCTTTGTTCCGTAAATTCTTATTACTGTAATTATTTACTCTGATTTGACCATTATATAAATAAAGCAATGAAAAACTGAGTGCAAAAGGAGAGCTGATGATTCTGCGATGCTTTCGAAAGATTCAGTCAAAACAAACTGAAAAAAGACAAGGCTATTCGATTAGGTGTGGGGCTTGTCAACTACAGAAGAACAAGGCAGCGTGAACAAAATTCTAGGGATTCTAAACTCAGGCTGTGTGACAAAAACCAGAAATTATTAACAGTAAATTAAGTGTGTGCCGGTTATGCAGAAAAGGCAAGCAGAATCCAACGAGTGGCTCTATACTCAAAGAATGCAGTTCTTGGCTCTACGTCAAAAACGCAGTCCTTCTGGCCTGGCGCGGTGGCTGATGCCTGTAATCTCAGTGGTGCAGGCCAGAGAATTGCTTGAGGCCATGAGTCCAAGACCACCCTGGGCAACACAGCAAGACCTTGTTTCAAAAAATAAAATAAAAATTTAAAAATTAGCCAGGTGTAGTGGCATGTGCCTGTAATCCCCGCTGCTCTGGAGGCTGAGGCAAGAGAATCGCTTGTGCCCAGGAGGTCAAGGTTATAGTGAGCTGTGATAGAGCCAATGTGCTCCAGCCTGGAAGACACATCAGATCTTGACTACTTAAAAAAAAAGTTGGCCAGGCACAGTGGTTCAGCCTGTAATCCCAGCACTTCGGGAGGCCGAGGCAAAAGAACTGCCTGAGTCCAGGGGTGCGAGACCAGCCTGGGCAACTTGGTGAGACCTTGTCTCTACAATAAATCACAAAAATAGCCAGGCTTGGTGGCGTACGTCTGTAGTTCCAGCTACTTGGAAGATTGAGACGGCAGGATCACCGAAGTCCAGGAGGTCGCGGCTGCAGTGGCCATGAGTGTGCCACTGCACTCCAACCTGGGCAACAGAGTGAGACTCCAACTCAAAAAAAAAAAATTAGTAGTTTTATAGCAAGTAACAGCATGGCTTAGATGTCAAGGGAAAAATTCTCTTGATACTCATGTACAAGGAAGGCACCAGGAGAGAGAAATTACCCATTGGTCACATTGCTACTCAAAAGTCATTCACTTACACTTAAAATAAGCCAGGCACAGAGGTTTACAACTGCAATCCTAGCACTTTGGGAGGCTGAGGCAGGAGGATGGCTTGAGCCCAGGAGTTTGAGACCAGCCTAGGCAACAGAGAGAGACTCCATCTCTATGAAAAATTTAAAAATTAGCTTGCCGTGGTGACACACGCCTGTAGTGCCAGCTAGTCTGGACACTGAGGCTGGAGGACCTCTTGAGCCAGGAGTTTGAGGCTGCAGTGAGTTATGATCACACCACTGCTCTCCAGCCAGGATGATAGAACAAGACCCTGTCTTTAAAAAATAAAAGAGACTTAACATATTAAAGCATACGTACATACATTTTTAAATTCTCACCTTAGCATATTTGATTGACCCACTCTAGTTCCGATCACACCAGTAACTGGGCTTCTCATGAACCTTAAACCAGGCCAGTTTGTCACAGGCAAGAGCAGAACATAAGCCAGAGGCAAGAGAGTCAAGGAGACAGGGAGAGAGAAAAGGAGGGTGAGTGAGTTCGTGAGTAATAGGCTGTAGTTGAAGAAACGCATGCAGAAATGAACTGATGACTCAGAGGATGAAAATGGTAGAAAACGTTGATCAGTCATGAGAACAGTCTGAAACTGGCATCCAAACCAATGTCCATCCACTCCACCCAGCTGATACTTTGGTCATGCAGTTTAGTCCAGCGGGAGGGCGCTTAAGTGGCACCCGAGAAATGTCATGAAACTCACAAGTCCCTGCTACCCTTCTGACTGCTCCTGCATGTTTTTATTTCACCCTCAATCTCAGATACTTTTCTTTGTCTAAAATGTGATTATGAAATACAAGACACAGCGTAGTAAGACACATCACAGGAGAGCCACAGGTTCAAGACAAGCTTAGAAAGAAAAACAAAACTCAACCAGAAGATGAAGACCAGGAAACTAATGAACTGCTAATTTTCCATCTAGTTCTTTAACTTTTAAGTAAATGATATATCAGTAAGTAGGATTAATACTGCTGAATTAAATACTTCTGGATTACAGTATCACATATCTAAAAATAGCAAGTGAGACAATGAAAATGATAAAAAGCGAATCAAATCAAATTTCTGCAACAAACAGAATGAGAGTTAAAAAGACAATGATTAAAAAGAAATTTATAAAGATGGAAAACTACATTAATACATAATGTTAAAGTAAGAAAAAACAACATATGAAAGTATATAAAAACATACCCTCAGCTGTGGAGAGATTGAATGTATAGAAGAGAAACAGAGTACAAGCCATAAATGTGAGCCACAAATGTAATCCACAAGTTTAATTTACATTTTTCTAGTAGTCATGGAAACTGATAGATTTTATTAGTATACCTTCTTTAACTCAATATATCCAAAACAATTTCATTCAACATGTTATCAACATAATAATAATGAGATGTTCTGCATTCTTTTTCTCACGCTGCCCTCCAAATTCAGCGTGCACTCCAAACTTACCCCACATCCCTGCTGAAACTGGCCGGCTGCAAGAGCTGAGGCCCGCGGCCCCTCTGCTGGCCCAAACAGGGAGAGAAGACACCAGAAGTATGCTACATGGCAACGGAGGCACTCCTGGGAAGAAGGGATACAAACGACTCCTACTCCCTTGCTTAGTTCCTTTTTTCTCACTTTCCCTATTTTCTACAGTGATCTCGTGAGAAACGCAGCACCGGAGTCCCCATCCACACCTAGCAACTCAGAATCTGCGCCTCAAACCAGAGGCCCAGGTGTTTCATTGGGACGGTGGGGCCTGAGAAGTGCGGTGCTAGGTAGTGACAGCTCGCACGGGACTCAAACACACACGAGGCATATGCCCAGAGCACGTGTGGTGTTTTCACTCTCCTGGACCCATGCTGATCCTGAGTCACCCTAGGTACAGAGGAGCTGCGTGAACCTCCCAGTCACCAAGTCAGGGCAGCCCAGGAGCAGGAAGCTGGCATCTGGCTCCCGAGCCACGCCACCCTTGATGCCACTTCCAGGACCAGACGTCTCCCATCTGCGAGTCACACTCGTCTGCTTGGCTGCCACACCTCTGAACTGGGATTGTTCAGAAAAGGATGGATTTGAAATCGAAGATGAGGTTACCACCTCTGCCCTTCCTACTAAGTACACGACCTGGAGCAAACCACACATCTGCACTGAGCTTCTATTTCCCTCTCTGGAAAATGGGTATACATACTCTTCACATGGCAAGAGATGCTGTAGGGGTTTTTTGAGGCCAAGGTGTGAGGAATAAATAAAATTATAAGTGAAAAAATAACAAGCATGATCTGTGACATGGCTATCATATCCATACGTGCTCACTTCCTTCTGTCCCATGCTACAATAATTACTGAGTGCCTACTAGACACGGGACACTGTGCCGGCGACCAGGCAGAGAGAGAAACGAGACACGGTCCTGCCTCCCACAGGTCTTATCGTGCAGAGAGACGATTAGATGATACTTATTGTCTGTCAGGTAATACTGAAAGCAAACACAGAAAGGGAATCGCTAAAGAACTGATTTTGCCCTAAATTCGAATGAAAGCTTAATTCCCTTGAGAAAGCAAGTTAGGAAACAAAAATACCCAAAAAAGTAGAATGGTACATGAAAAACTGCATGTTATTTGGTTTTATGCATTCAAATTAAAATAAAATTGATCATTTTTTTTTCCAGTCTGGGTGAAGCTGGAAAAAAAAAAAGATCAATTTTATTTTAATTTGGATGCATAAAACCAAATAAAATACACATCCCTGGAATGTGTACCTATTTTTCTCTCCCAAAAAAAATTCAACCTCAGAAGAAGCATAACAATGAGTATTAACGTTCCAGAATGAGGTATTCAGATTCAGAGTTAACTCAGAACGAGGGTCAAGTCCTTGGTTCTACTGACACTGTTTTGCCTGCTCAGTCCTCTGATTTTTGTTTCTCTTCATCTGCCTTCAGAACAGATTTCTGTGGACCTACAGGCCCAGGCATTCGCAAAGAAACACCAGCTTCCTAGGAGGGCGACCTCAGAGTCCACCCTATCTATCGCTAGCAGCTCCCTGGCCCTAAAACTCACTAGAAGGAGGGCCTCGAGCAAAATGGGACCTCCACCCAGGAATCGGGCTTCCACCCCGGGGCGCCCAGAAGTACCCAGGCCTCAGGAGACGCCTACGGAGAGGCGCGCTCGTGACTCACCAGCCAGGGCTGAGGGATCTCCGGCAGGGGCATCTGCGGCGGGGCCGGCAGGCTGCTGGGGGGCTCTGGCTTCTGAGCATGGCCTTTCACGTCAAAACCTGCAAGGATGAGTCAGAACCCAAGAAACGATGAGGGTGATGGAGGAACGTTGAGACCACGGCAGCGGTTTTTTCCTGAGCCCCAGGTTGAACGCTCTGGAAACACTCATTTTCTCTCATCCTTTCCAAACAATCCTACAAGGTAGTTAACAGTATGCTCCATTTCACAGATGAAGCATCTACGGCTTCAACAATATAGGGAGGAAGAAAGGAAAGAGGGAGGGAGGACAGACAGGCTAAGAAACTCATCAGAACACCAGCAGCTAGAAATGGTGATGCCGGCCCAGCACCTACATTCTCCTGCATGCCCAGCCGCCTCTCAGGCAAGTTGCTCCCCGACTTCCACTTAGGACACGACTTACCCATGTACTAAGGGGGAAACACTTCCCTGCGAATCATTATATGTCTACTAAGTGCCCCATTAAAGTCAGGTACTGTAACAGACATACTTTATAGTTGACACGACGGACACACCCACCCCCCTCGAGATATTCACATTCAAGCTGGGAAGACAAATACATATACAACTATTAGAAGAGGTGAGAGCACTGTACTCGTGAAGCAAGAAAGAGGAAGAAGCAAGTTTCAATTTGGGCACTGTTTATATGCCAGAGCACACTTGAAAGACCGGCAAAAATAATCACTTCACAATGATCACCCGAAGCAGAGCAGGCACTAGAGGCCAGGAACTGAAATATGAAACGACCTAGTGTCTGACCTCCAGGGGCTGCAATGGAAAAGCAAACCGCACCGCCACGCAGGTTCAGACCAGGAGTCTGAAGGGCTGAGAGAAAGGCATAGGTGGAAGAGACGAGGCTGCCACATAACACTACCTCTGCTAATAGAAGCCATCATAAAAAATAACAGTCAGCCAGGCTCGGTGGCTCAGCCTGTCATCCTGCGCCTTTGGGAGGCTGAGGTGAGTGGATGGCCTGAGCCCGCGGGTTTGAGACCCACCTGGGCAGCGAGACCTCTTCTCTACAATAAATCAAAAAAGTAGCCGGGCATGGTAGCGCATGCCTGTAATTCCGGCTACTTGGAAGGCTGAGGCGGAAGGATCGCCGGAGCCCAGCAGGCGAGGCTGCGGTGGCCGGGAGCGGTCACTGCACTCCAGTCTGGGCGACAGAGTGAGACTCCAACTCAAAAAAATAAAAAATAAAAAATAAAAAAATAACAGTCGATAGCTATTGACCTGTCTACTGTGCGTCAGGCACTGTTCTGAAATATTTTCTATTATCTCCTTCAATCCTCACAATACCCCATGAGGTTGATACTACTATTAACCAACCATCTTTATCGATGAGAAAACTTGTGTGTGAAAAGATCACGTAACTTGTGCCAGGTCACATATTTGGTAACGGGCAGACCCAGGAATCAAAACCAGTTTGACTCTGGAATTCACGCACATAACCACCTATTTCAAGGGGCCTTGCTGGGCTGTTGAAGGAGCCTGGGTTGTGACCAGAGGCCAAGGAGGGTGAAGGGTGAATGAAAGAGTCTGAGCAGTAACAAATTATTTTTTTTTAAAAAGTGAACATTTGATCTTGCCCCCAAAATATAGTCCTCAGCCTGCTTTCCCATCTATGTGACCGGTCCCAACACCCACCCAGGTCTCCACATCTTTTACGTTCAATCTGCTCCCAAATCCTTCAACCCACCTTCCAGACTGACCAGGTGAGCTTTCCAGAATACAGACCAAATTGGGTCATACCGTGGCTTCAAACAGCAAAAACAAATGCATTTTATACTGTAAGTGGTAAAGTGAATTCTACCTCGCCAAAGATGTTTAAAATAACCATCTCTATGCCTCATCCAGCTGTCTGCTGCAGAGCCTTCAAGAGTCTACCATTACAACCCACCAGGACTGCCGCTCGGCCTCTCGCTTCTCACCAACCTGGTCTGGGTTCTCCTATCTCATTACCCAGCAGGCTCTATTATTCCATTTTTCTGTCTTACCCACAGTGCATAAAATAGTTAACACAGCAGGGCAAGGCTGCTGTCTGTAGAGGGGTCCGCTTGCAAGGTGGGCCCTGGCTAGTGTCTGCAGCACCAGGTTTCAGAAATGCCCCACTTTTCCTCCATGGTAAGGTCAGTCTCCTGTGCCAACACTATGCAAAAAAATGTCATTTATGCTGAACATCTGCTTTCCTGGGAGTCTAGGGTTCTGGTATGTGCCAGACAGAGGGTGTCCACGTGACCAGCCCCAAGTAAAAATCCTGAGTACTGCGTCTCTGATGAGCTTCCCTAGAAGAAATGTCACACACAGGTTGCTGCATTTTTGCTGCGGAGAAAGGAGTGTGTTCTGTGTGACCCTCACGGGAGGGACAGAGCATAAGGAAGCCTCACAAGGGCTCCTCCAGACTCCACCCAGTCCTGTCCCCTCCAAGGGTCGATCGGGCCATGTATCCTCACTACCACTGCAATGTGTCGTGGGAAGAGCACAAGTAGATGCTGAGTGCTGAGATCCTTTAGTTAATCTCCGAATTAACCACCAACACACCCATGATTCTATGAACTCCTTTTAAAGGCGTTGTCTTTCTACACCTCGAGGCTAACATAGGACCTGTGCTAACACAATGAAAACTTGATGAATACACAAGTTCTTAAGTTAAAAAACAAATTAATACATTTTAGAAAGATGGTGAAATTACAGATAATTTGGAAACCACAAAAGATTGGAAGAAGGCAGACCAGATGTGTGAATGGGACTCACCTTTGGAGGACTGTATCCTCAGCAGAATGTTGGTTATTACTGCCTTTTTCTCCCTGACAGTTGATGTTAAGTATTCATGGTCCAGAAGTTCAAGAAAGAGGCGAAGTTCAACTATTAACTCTTCCATTGCTGAAAACAAAGGGAAAAGGAAGGATTATCAGACCCATAGATTCACAAATGTCAAAAATATGAATACTAGTGTTATACTCAAAGTGTTTCATTTTTCATTTGAAGCTTGATTGCTGAAATTAGTATTCCAACATGAACACAAAGTTTGTTGAAACCAGGCCCACTAGAAGATTAATGTGTCACCCTCTTAACAAACGCACTCTACTTCAATTTTGCTTGAGGCAGCAAAATTCAACTGGGAGAAACTGCAAAGCCATCCTGCCAGTGAATGGTGCCATAACCCAAAGACCTGACATCATCATTTCGTGTTGATTACATGATATTAAATTTCAATGTCAAGGAGGAGATGGGAGCTGGGAATGCCAAATCGTTTTCTAATAACCACCAGGGCATGCCTTCAGAAACTCAACACCCAGTACTCTGCTTTTGTGGGGCTGGCTCCACCCCAGATGCCCTAGGCATGTTTATACACATGTCATCACAAAGGATGCTCGATGCTGCAGAGCATGAAAACGGAAGTTCAGGCGCCCACTTCCCACCATGCCTTTACCTTCTTGGATTATGGAAGCCTTTTCCCCTCCTATCACAAGACTGGAACGCTGGCTTAGGTCAGCCATGGGTAATGATGATGTGAACCACTGGGGGTGGAAACTCCTCCTTTTAGGGAATCCATGAGGCCCAAACTGTTTTCCTAACACTAAGGCATCATTTGCCTTTTTTGGCTCTTAATGGCACAAATCCAAGGGTAAATCTGCTGTTTAATTAGCACAGATCAAAGCAGTGACACCAAACTACCCTGATGGTCACTGTGATCGTCACCATACTCTCATAGTAAAAAAAAAAAAGAAAGAAGTCACTTTCACTTGAGTGTCCTTGATGAAGGAGTAAAAATCATTGCTTTTATTAAAGCTCAACCCCTGAGGAAACACCTTTTTAAGGTCCCATGTGCTGACATAAATGCGTATGAAGCACTTCTGCAGATGAAATACAATAGTTGTCAGGAGCAAAACCGTTGGCAGCGTTTGAGTTTCAAGTCACCCGAGTCATGTTTTGCACACAGCACCATCTTTGTGAGAGAGTGACGGGCGAACTGTCATGACTTAGACTCGGGTACCTGGCAGCCGTGTTCTCAAAACGAAACACGTGAGATCATCACTTCAAGGCAAACAACGGACAGCATCTGTTGCCGATGATAAAAGTGGAGCTTCCAAGTGAAAATAAGAATTCCTAAAATCTTGTACCTGTCCCTGTAAGAGCTTGACAGCCTCCCAAAAGTCAGAGACCGTTTGGGTGAGATCAGGGTGGCATGAACAAGTAGGATTTTTGATAGTACACAATGTCTCAGGTTGACCCTTGGCGATCCGTACAACTCCGTGAGCCATGATGTGGGTCAGAGACCCACCTGAAGTACAAAATGAACCAAAGGGTTCTCATGTAACGAGGGGTACAGTTTCAGGTTCCACATCACCGACAGCCTACAGGAAACTGCCACTTGTCGAGCTTCGGTGTAGTATCAAAGAAGAATACCCACGAGTTTCTGAAAAGTCTCCTGAGAAACGCTGCTTCTCCTTCCCAACTACAGATGTGTGTGAGGCCAGACCGGCTTCATATAACAACGGCACCCTCACTCTGGAGAGGCAAATATGAGGTCAGCTGTCTTTACTAAGCCAGATGCTAAAACACTTGCAAACATTCCAAAGAACGCTACTCTTCTAACTATCCTGTTTGGATAAATGCATTTACTTTTCATAACTACGTATTTTAGTTTAGCATGTGATGGGTTTACTGAAATCTTTAACGAATTAATACATGTCTTAAAATTTGCCAGTTTTAAATTCGAATATGAAATTAGCTGGGCATGGGGGTACATGTCTATGGTCCCAGCTACTCAGGAGGCTGAGGCGGGAAGACTGCTTGAGCCCAGGAGGTCAAGGTTGCTCTGAGCCGTGATCATGCTACTGCACTCCAGCCTAGAAAAGGAGTGAGACCTGACTCAAAAAGAAGAAGAAGAAAAAAACTAACATGATAAATATCTACAGATGTAACTACATAAACAAAAGCTCTTTGAGGTCTTCAAAATATTTTTTGAGGCCAAAAGGTTTGAGAACTGCTGCTGTATGCAAGTATCTTAACTTCTTTGTTCATTCACTCATCAAACATTATCTTTGGTCTGTGGTATATGCCATGCATCTGGACTAAAGACAGCATAATGAAAAAGTTTCATACCAAAAAAACCTAAGCAAAAAGGTTTTGAGAACCATGTCTATGGCCTTCTTTCTAAATCTACTATTCCATAAGTCTACAACATCCCCAGAATTCAAAATCTCAACCAGGCCACCCTTTTCTAATGACCACAGCTCTCATAATTTCAGGTAAATGGGTGGAGAGATGGAAAGGGAGCTCGGAGTAGGCGGCATGTGTTGCTGGCTGTTCACTCTTCAGAACGGGGCAACTTTCCCTCTATGAACTACAGACTGGGGATGGAGAAGTTAAGAAAGCCTGTGAAGTTCTTTTCATTGATAATTCAAGGTGGAAGGCAATCTCATCCGTACTTTAAAAATGATGGGCTGAGGGCATTATTCCCAACAGCCAAAAGGCGGAAACTGCAGACATATTCACCAACAGATGAATAAACGAAAGGTAGTATACACACACAACGGAATATGATTCAGCCATGAAAAGGAAAGAAGTTCAGAGACACGCTACAACATGGGTGAAGCTTGGAAACATTATGTCGAGTAGAATAAGCCAGACACAAAAGGGACATACTGTCTGATTCCACTGACATGAAGTATTTGGAGTAGTCAAATTCACAGAGACAGAAAGTAGAACAGTGGTCCCCAGGGGCTGGGAATGGGGGAGAAACATAGGAGCATTGTTCAAAAGGGTTCAGAACTGCAATTTGCTATGATGAAAATGTTCTAGAAATGGATAAAAATACATCTAATGTGAATATGCCTCACAGCACTAAACTTTATACTCAAAAAAGGGTTAAAACGGTGAGTTTTATGCTCTACACATTTTGCCACACACACACAAAAATTCATGGGAGTTCCACCTAACATCATGAAAATATCTGAAGAAGGCACCTATCCTGACTCATCCTCAAAATCTGCGCCCCCTCGACAGTGTTTCCCACGAGGAGCCGGCACAAACCCTCCCAGAGCCTGGGAACCTATTGTAACCGTGTCTGGGTATCTGCTAAGCCCAGACCACTCTTGCCAAAGAACAGTGCCCTCAACCCAATGGTGGACTCTGGGCAGCCACCTCTATACCATGAGATGCTGCACGTTTCCCACTGCTAGGTTATCTTTAACTGGACCACCCCAACCCAAGCTGGTCAATCAGATCCTGTTTCCTGTGTCTCTTGCCTGGAGACTAAGAAATATGAGTCCCTAGGGATGGCTTCTTGACCAAAGATATGGAAACACAGCAACTACGGTGCAGCAGAGTCCAAGCATGCAGTGCCAAGGGATGGAAGCCATCACCGCAGAAAGAAAGAATAATGACCCATAGCTCTCATAATTTCAGGTAAATGGGCTGAGGGAAGAAAAAGGAGCTCAGAGTAGGCAGGGGGTGTTGCTGACTGTCCACTTTTCAGAACTGGAATGAAGAATGAAGGTGACACCCTCGGGGGTTGACAGACTCAGAAGGCAACATACCCGCCAAGACTTCCCTGATCTTATTTTTAGTTACTTGTGAAACTGGGCAGCACTTGAATTCCATCAAATACTTGGATCCTTTTAATAAATTTTCATTTCATTTTTTTTAATTAAGCTAATCTGTACAGTTTTCTGTTCGCCTGGAATTGCAACCAAAAGATTCTCAAAACACAGCTCTTAGCGCCTCAGAACGCAAAACGTCCAAGAGCAGAGAGTTGTAATTGTTAGAAAAGTTTCTCCTTGGAATCTTCACCACCTAAATAAACCACACTTTATATTTGGCAGTCCTGCTAAATACTCACACTCTAATCCTCTTTCTTCCGGCCTTCTCTAATTCAAGCTCCCAATTGGCTCCTCCCTTCCTAGTCTTCCTTAATTACCACAATGCATCAATCTCTTAGCAGCCTTACTGATAACTAGATACTTACTGACCCTTAAGGTTTATTTGGTGTGTGTGCGTTTTTCTCAAAATAGCTAGTCCACTGGTGAAGAACAGATTTCATCCTCTGTTGATCTCCGATCACCTTAGGAGAACACCACACACAGGAAGCATGTAAATATGCTTGAATGGATGGCTTACAAAGTAAGAGGAATAGGGCTGGGCATGGTGGCACGGTGGCTCATGCTTGGAATCCCAGCACGCTGGGAGGCCAAGGTGGGAGGACAGCTTGAGGGTAGGAGTTCCGCACCAGCCAGGGCAACAAAGTGAGACCCTGTCTCTACAAAAAAATAGAAAAATTAGCCATGCATGGTGGCATGTGCCTGTAGTCCCAGCTGGCTGGGAGGCAGAAGTAGGTTGAGGCTTAAGTTCTAGAGTTTGGGGCTGCAATGAGGCATGAATAGTACCACCGCACTCCACTCTGGGCAACAGAGTAAGACCTTGGTTCTAGAACAATGATAACACAAGAAAGTAAGATAGCCAGACATGGTAGCGTCCGCCTATAGTTCCCATATACTTGGAAGGCTGAGGTGGAAGGATCGCCGGAGCCCAGCAGGTCGACGCTGGAGTGGCCATGAGTGTGCCACTGCACTCCAGCCTGGGCCACGGAGTGAAAAAAAAGAAAGTAAGAGAATTAACATTTCCTGAAAACCTGTTATGTGAAAGGCATTGTGCTGGACATCTACACATAAGGCTTCACTTAATTCTCGCAATAATGCCACAAAGACATCACCATCCCCTGTGCAGGACGTGGTGGCTCAAGTCTGTAATCTCAGTGCTTAGAGAGGCTGAGGCAGAGGATCGCTTGAGGCCAGGAGTTGAGGCCAGCCTAGCAACACAGTGAGACCTTGTCTCTACAAAAAATTAGCCAGAGGATCACTTGAGGCCAGCCTGGGCAACACAGTGAGACCTTGTCTCTACAAAAAGTTAACCAGGTATGATGGCACATGCCTATAGTCCCTGCTACTTGGGAGGATGAGGTGGGAGGATCGCTTGAGCCCGGGAAGTCGGGGCTGCAGTGAGCCATGATTGCACCACTGCACTCCTACCTGGGCAATAGAGCTGACCCTGTCTCTAAAAAAGAAGAAAAAAGAAAGGCTCTGGGTCAATTTTTTGTTACTTTTTCCTTAGGCGAATATTTACATAGCAACTACACGTGCCATGCACTGTTCTAAGCCCTTTGCACATATGGATTCATTTGCCCTTCACAGCAACACTAGGTAGGTACTGTTATTATTCCCATTTTGCAGGTGAGGAAGCTGAGGCACAGGCAGGTAGCCTGAGGTCACCAAGCCTCTCCAGCTAATAAATTGTTCAGTCACACTGCTAGAATATAATACAGCAAGGAACTGAACTCAGATCTGACTCCAAAAGCCCTGCCTTGACCATTTCATGGTACTAATTCCACAGATTGTTTTCCCGGTTAACCTTAGCCTGGTGAGCTGTTAAGTCCATTTTGTTTTTAAAAGGACAATGGCATTGATACAGAAACCCACTACTGTCTGTCAGTTATCGC